GGGGGGGGTTCTTTAGGCTACACGTTCATAAACTATGTTTTGTAACATGTAGCAGCTTGAGAAAAATATGAAAACCAGAAATGTATGGTAAGAGATTAGCTTTGTCATGTGTGGGTTAGGCACATGTCACTGGTTAGAACCCACCTGCAGACAAAAGCCTGATATTTAAGTGGAAAAAGGTAGAGGGACGGGCCTATTATCCACTAAGTTTTGGGCCATGAGGGCCACCCTCAAGGATTTCCCGGTTACCCAAAAAAGGCAATTGATTTCGCTCAAGGTGCATCCTTGATACTACTGCAGAAATAGTTTACTTATCAGAATTGCAAGCATAGTTTCTCTAGACAAAGCAAATACAAAGGCATTTGATTAATCTATAGAAGAAAGAGGATAAAGGTGGATAATACAGCGGACAATTAACTCCTATTGTAGCAAGTAAATTAAAACCTGAAATTAACAACATATTTCTGTATAAAGAGTTCAGCAAGTATTCACTTTGTCATAATTACCTTTATAAACGATAATTACTACCAAATCTCGATCTATAGTCTTTAGGGTCAAAATCAAGGAGATAGACTATATAAACTACTTCTCCAGAATTTAAAGCAGCTAGATAGCAGTTTTACCCTCACATTGCTTAAAAATGTAAAGCACAGAAGATGAGTTACTTTATTCTCAGATTAGCTCATGATTCAGAGAAGAGACGGAGCATTTAACACTTCCTTTCGAGGCAGCATATGTGCCACCAATAAGAGAGTGTTCCCTTGGTGTTCTCGTGCGACCTTGTGCTTGGTCAACAAGGGATCAAAATGAGTGAGTTCTCGTCCCATACTCAAGTCTGATTTTGATCATCGTCTCCCCTCTGCGCAAGATGGATTTGGCTTCGGCGATTCACCATTTGAAAGACAAGAGAACGCTATTGGCACAAAACCAACAAAGTCCGATTATGTTTCAACCGTAGGTTTTATTGAATGAATAAAGAAGGTAGGTGTATATAAATAAATTCATTAAGTCTTAATGCCAATGTCGGCCAATAGGCTTAAAAACAAAAAGAAAATGGAAATGGAAGTTCTATAGACAGGTTATTAAACTAATTATGTCATATGAGGCAGAGTATTGGCCAGTTAAGAACTCACACGTTCAGAAGATAAAAGTAACGGAAATGAGGATGCTTAGATGGATGTGCGTGCATACTAGGAGAGATAAGATTAGGAACAAAGATATACGGGACAAAGTGGGAGTGGTCTCCGTGGTGGACAAGATGCGGGAAGTGAGGCTGAAATGGTTCTGGCAAGTAAAGAGGAGAAGCACAAATATCCCAATGAGGAGGTGCGAGAGGTTGCCAGTGATAGATCTAAGAAGAGGTAGAGGTATACCGAGCAAAAATTGGAGAAAAGTGATTAGACAGAACATGACAGATCTTCAGCTCACCAAGGACAATAACCCTAAATATGAGAGCATAGACGTTGAAGATTAGCATAGAAGGTTAGTAGGTAGTCGAGCAATTTCTCTCTTTTCTATGGGAGAGCTTGGTCCTAGTTTAGAGCACCTTATATGCTCCCTATTCTCCTTATCAGTATTATTATTAATCAATTATTATCTTATTATTCAATTTTATTACTATTGTTGTTTCTTTTAATTTGGTTATCTTTACTATATTTACTATCAATATTTTTCTTTTCTTCAGTAATTTCATCATATACTTTTTACTCTTGCATTTTCAAACTTGTTTTGAAAACAGTTTTCTTGAGCCAAGGGTTTATTGGAAACAACTTTTATACCTCATACAAGGTAGGGGTAAGCCTCGCCAAACCCCACTCGTAAATCACATTGGGTATGTTGTTGTTGTTGTTTCGAGACAACATATACTCAAAGTTGAATTATTCTTCTTACACTTCTCATTACAAAATCTAAAAAACCGGAGAAAAGATGGATTATTTTGTGAACCATCATATTTTCAGATAAAGTAATCACTGTATATCTTCTCCGGGAAAGAAGAATTGCCATTCACAAAATTATATGGGCCAGTAGCATTCATTTTATTGAATCAAATATGGGGACCAAATTCAAAAATCTCTATAAAGACTAAAAATGAATAAGAAAACGGGAAAATGTTTTTGTAATACCTGTACAGACAACCATTTCGCGCATCAAGCATTATTTTAATCCTCGGTTCCATTGCCAAAGGAAGGACAGACAAGACTTTCTATGAAGGTTCGAGCTGTATTCATATCAGATCTAACATCAACCGCCATATCCCACAAATCATCCTCTTTCATATTGTAGACAACCAACTTTTCGTCAACCTCCATTATAATATCATCATCGGTCATTGAACACAATGGTGTACAAAGAGAATCATGTAAACTTGGTACCGTAAGCCTAAATACGGTCCAAGACATGTTAACCCCATAGTCTTCCATCAAACAGATTGTTATTGTGTCTATACTTCTGGTGAACATACAAAGACGCCCTCTAAGAGCCACAAGTTCAAAAAAAGAGTAATTGTAATCAGTAGGAGGTACTGGCACCTCCAAGAATGTCTCATCACTTAAATCAAAAGCAACAAGTACACATGGATGATCAGAAATTTTAGCCAACCAATGCAAAGCCCCATTTACCAAAACCCCAGACGCAGGGTCAGTAAGTGAATGATCATAAGGGGAACTCCCAAGTCTCTTCCAAAGACCCTTTCTCACAGAGTAAATATCCACAAAAGTGTCAACTATATCAGGCTCATCTATATCATAGTAAGAAAGAGCAACCACCTTATAATCATCAGTAACAACATCGTACCCAAAACCATACATGCTACAGCTATCTGATACAGGAAGAGCCAAATCAAAATTTGGAATTTTATGGTACTTTAAGGTAGTGGGGTTGATCAAATATTTAGCGTCTTCCCTACGAATCGCCAAGACCAAGCCATTACATGAGCCATCAACACTTACCCAGTGGTCTGAGAGCTGCTGAAAATCAAGCTTTCTTGATATGACATCAATTTCACCTTGGACGTCGTGGGTAAAGGTGATAGTGTGAAGAAAATGACCAGCAACAATGAGCTTATCTACTAAATGTTTGTGGGAATGGAGAGTGAGGTGAGTTTTGATGAATTTTGGTTCTGAGAGAAGAGAACACCACTGCTTTGATACACACCTAAATTGACCTATGGACTTAGCAGGCAGCCGGGTAAAGATGTCATATATGATTTCTTCAGGTATTTTTGCAGCAGCATTGCTGTTTGCCATAGTTGGGTTTGGAGGAGAAACTGTAGAGACACCTAAAGTGGCTTTCTTTGACGACTAGGGCATTTTTCTGCTCCTGGGCTGACATCAATGAAAATTGGGAGTGTTCGGCCCGCGATTTCTGATTGCAAGGGTACCCATTCAAAATTTAGGAAAGGCCAATTATCTAAATTGATACTAGTACTACTTGTTAGGTCTTGGGTTCCAGTGACGCGGAGGGGAAGCGTGAAACACTATACATACTCCTAATTTGGGAGGGTTTAAAAAAAAATATTACTACTTGTTCAAAGTCCGAAGATGAATTTTATTTTTAAAGTAAATTTGAAAAATGTGAATGATTTTCTCCCTTTGAGAATTAAAATGATACAGTTTGGATTTCGAGAGTTAAGCTTTTTAATTTTGACCGTTAATTCGGACATAGAATTATTAAGTTTTTGAAATAAAATTTATAGAGTTAGAACTACATAAAAAGTATTACAAGTCACAATAATTAACAATTCAAATTTTAATAATAAGAAACTTATTTGACTCCTGATATCCAAAAAGTATCATTCTTTTTGGGACAGACTGAACTCACGGAGCTCCCTTCGCTTTGTCTCGAGATCGACTCAATCAATGAGAACCACAGCGAAATGCTTCTGGCATGCCAAAGCAAGGTAAGCTATCGATTCTCTTTCCCAAAGTCAAATGTTATTGTACTGAGCCTAACACATTAGCGTTCACATCAAATAAGTGTCATATATTTTTATTTTATTTACAAATATACTCCAAAATCACACCGATCCCATCTCGATTTTTGACCGTCATCCTTCCTCCTATTTTAGCCATATCAGTGTGAAATCCACGCCTTTTAGCTATATCGCCTAAACAAATGTATGGATGATTAACGGTTAGAGATGTTTACAAATACTCATTTTGTCAAGTAAAGATGTTAAAATGGGAAAACGAGAGCTAAGAGTCGAACCAACTTTCCAGACATTTGCTTTGCATTCACGTCTCAATCTATGCAACTATTCTATTGACTTGCATTGATTTGAAATTGCTTGTCATTTTTGCTTTATCGAGCACAGTTATGTACAACAGCAACAACAAACCTAGTGTAATGCCACAAGTGGGGTGTGGGGAGGGTAGTGTGTACGCAGACCTTACCATTACCTTACAAAGATAGACAGGTTGTTTCCGGTAGACTCTCGGCTCAAGAAACAGTGAAACTAAAGCCAGAGCACAGTTATATCTGATAAGCAATAAAACATACAACAGAGCTAGAAATTTTGATACTGCCACACAAAGGACAATGTTGCTGCTTTAACATGTTTGGAAACATTAAAACACCTCTTGTCAAATGAGTATGCAAATACTTAGATCATCTACTCATCTAATGTCGAGAAACTCAACTGAGATATAGACAGTCAACAAAACAAAACTCAAGTATGAGGGGTTTTCTCAAAAGGGGACTTCTCTTTTCTGTAGTACTGCTTTTGTGTACTATACCAGATACAAATCATAAGTGCAAGTTTTCCTCGAATACTCTTCTTCTATCATGGTGATTTGTCTTCAGTTTTGAAATTGTAACGGTTGCAACAGCATAATGAAAGAGTAACACCCTTGGGATTAAAGTATATAGAGATTCCGGCCTCTGCACATACACAACATTCCAATCAATAGAAGCACCAGAACATGTCCATGGAAGCAGATTAATTCCTGTGCAAGCAACAGTAACAAAATCAATTTGGTATTAAGTGGCATTACAAGAAATCGATGTATGATAAGCTTGATTAAGAGTTCATTATAAACCCTTTTTATGCCAGACTCAGGTAATTTTTTCACTTGATAGTGCTAGTTTCCTTGCAAGTTTATGTTACTTTGATGACAGGCTGAAACAAAAAGAGAGAAAAGAAGAACAGGTTCAAGGTTCACGAAAGACTCACAAATTTGGGAGTTTCTCTTCAATGGTTTAAATTATCCTTGCCTTGTAACAATGAGTTTTTGTAGTTTAAATATTACTTTTATTGGATTAAAAAGGCCAATGATTTGGCTAAAGGTGCATCTTTGATACTTAGAATTGCAAGCATAGTTTTCCCTATAGTCCTAAACAAAGCCAAAAACAACAGCTTTTGAATAATCTTGAGGAGAAAGATGACAAAGGTGGATACTACTACCAACAATCCACTCCTACTGTAGCAAATAAATTAAAACCTGATATTTCTGCATGAAGAGTCCAGTAAGCATTCGCTCCGTCTATAGTTACCTTCTTAAGCGATAAGTACTGCCAAATCTCGATCTTTAGAGTCTCGGTATTCATAATCAAGGAGATAGATGATATAAACTCTTTTCCAGAATTTAGAGCAGCTACATAATAGTTTACCCTCACATTGCTTAAAATGTAAAGCACAGAAGATGAACCGAAAATAATTCAAGTTGAGTTCACTCTGAGAGATTAGCTTATGATTCAGAGAAGAGCCTAAACATTTAAAACTTTCTTTCAAGACTGCATATGCTCAAAGTTCACTATTTTTCTTCCTTAAAGCAGCAGCATCCTATATTGCTGAATTGACACCAATTCAAGTATGATATGCATGTGTGACTCCTTTTACGTAATACAGTTTACCACTGTATATTTTCTGATGAATTAATCACTGTATCTTCTTCAGGTTCACAAGACTCTATGGGTCAGTAGCAATCATTTTAGTGAATCAAATATGGGGACCAAATTCAAAAATCACTACAGAAAGAAAATTAAAAAGTTAACACTAAAACCCGAGAATGTTTAAAGATGAGGAAGTACTTGATGTCATTAACCAGTGTGCCTGGGATAAAGCTCCAGGCCGAGGTGGATACACCATGGGTTTCTTCCAAAAATGTTGGTCAATTGTGAAGAAGATATTCTGAAGGCGATTTAGTATTTCATAAACAAGAGAAGTTTGAATAGAGTTTTAAGGCTACATCATTGCTCTTATCCCCAAAAGGAAGGCAGCCAGGGAGTTGAAAGATTTTTTAGACCAATTGGCCTAGTAGGAAGCTTCTACAAAGTTGTGGCTAAGTTACGAGGCACAGGAAGAGGAAGAGCCAAATGAAAGTTTGGAACCGTATGGTGCTTTAAGGTTGTGGGTTTGATTAAAACATTAATAGTTTTGTTATTCACCACAAAGACCAAGCCATAACATGAGAGAGCAACACTTACCCAGTTGACACGAAGCTATATTGGCAGATGAACTTTGCAGGCAGTCGGCAAGTAAGTTATAATTTCTTGGGGTGCGATTTCAGCTTTGCTCATTGCCATATAGTTGGATTTAGAGGAGAAACTACTAGGATAATCCTGAAGTGGATTTGTTAAACTAGGGTATGTTCTTGAATCAATGAATCCAAAGGGTCCTTAGGTTTACAGGCTAGTTATACATAAATTACAATATAAATATATGGATTGTGTAATAATAACATAGGGATTGTTATGCCTTAGATTCTTGAAGGCCTTTTCTCATTGTTAGTTACTCTTATCAATGTATTGTTAACACAGATATCTATCTTGAGAGTCTTTATTGTAATAGAAAATACGATGAATAACTAACCAGCAGGGTGGTTAGCTTCTTAAGCTGTGATACTACCCAATAGATCTATTTTAAGAGTCTCTTTAGTGATAGATCTTGACAAATAACAATCAAGGAGGTAAACGGCTTACCGATATCCATCTTAAGAGTCTTTGTAGTGATAGATCTTGACAAATAACAATCAAGGAGGTAAACGGCTTACCGATATCCATCTTAAGAGTCTTTGTAGTGATAGATCTTGACAATTATAATCAAGGAGGTAGACAGCTACCAATATCTATCTTAAGAGTCTTTGTAGTAATAGATCTTAACAATTATAATCAAGAAGGTAGATAGCTACCAATATCTATTTTAAGAGTCTTTGTAGTAATAGATCTTAACAATTATAATCAAGAAGGTAGATAGCTACCAATATCTATTTTAAGAGTCTTTGTAGTGATAGATCTCGACAATTATAATCAAGGAGGTAGACAGCTACCAATATCTATCTTAGAGTCTTTGTAGTGATAGATCTTGACAATTATACAATCAAGAAGGTAGACAACTTAACTTTTTAATTTTTTTTTTTTGAGTTTCTAGAGCAGCTAGATCACAGTTTTACCGTCGGTATTGCTTAAAACAGTATCCAACAGAGTGGCCAACAATAATTTTAAATGAGTTAATCATGATTCAAAGAAGAGTCAAAACGTCTAAAACTATTACTTTTCAAGACTGCATGTGCTCAAAATTGAACTATTCTTTCCCCTTAAATAGCCCCCATTCTATGATGTTGAATTGAAGCAAGTTACAATTCCAAGCATTTCCATTTTTATATGATACAACCAATGAGCCAATCATTGTATATTTTCTTCAGGACATAAGAATTACCATCACAAAGCTCTATGCTAAGTTGCTTGGACTCGGGTGCGGGTATCCAATATGGGTGCGGATCTAGAGGTCGGATCCTTCATGATCTAAATTTAAGATTTAGGGGTACAGATACGGGTGCGGACTTGGCAATATCTAAAAGTAAAGCTACAAAAATATGCCTAAATATGAAACATTATGTTGAAAACTTACATTAGCTTGTAGAGTGCAATAACTCAATCTTTTGTTCTCAAGTTGTAGGTAATCATCTAGAAATCTACAGTAGCTTTTGTCTTGAGAAATCAAAATGCCAAATCTTATCTCTAATTTCTAAGTAGTTTGTGGTCAAAGTACTCAATGTTGATTGACCAGATCCGGAACGTATCCCACACCCATACTAGTGTCGGCGTCGTGTCGACACGGGTGCAACACCACAAATGAAGAGTCCACGCAATTTAGGCTTTATGAGGAAAGAATTACCATTCACGATACTCTATGGGGTTTATTATCGAATTAAATACGGGGACCAAATTAAATAAAATACACCAAATGAATGAGAGATCGTGAAAATGTCTGGGTAATACCTGAATACAACATCATCTCAGAATTTTGCATCAAGCAATGAAGTAACCTTCAATGTCCTTGTCAAACGTAGGAGAGACAAGACTTCCCATGAAGGTTCTAGTTCCTTCAAACATAGTAGTTATTCATATACCTCCATTGATCCTCTTTCGCATTGTAGACAATCAACTTGTCTCCATACACATCCAATACAACATCATCATCACTCGTTAAACACAAGGGACGGCAAAGACTCATACCATAATCTATATTAGGTCCTGTAATCTTAAATCTGGTCGAGGACTGGATACTCTCTCATCATTCAGATATCAATGTTGATTTATTGCGTCCAAGCGAACATACAAAGACAACCTCTAAGACCCACAAACTTAATCCACGCATAATTACCTTTATCAAGAGTAGTAGGTAATGGCAAATCCAATAATTTCTCATCAATTAAATTAAAAGCAACAATTATATATGAATGATTAGGAGTTTTTCTAGTCAACCAATGCAAAGCAACATTTACCAAAATCACAGAATAGCGGAAAGGAACTTCATGGTCATAAGTTAAACTCTGAGATCTCCTCCATACACCCATTCTTTTAGATATCCATAAAAGTGTCCAAATTTTCATGCTCAATATCAGTATAATAAAAAGAAAGAGTAACCACCTTATAATCATCACTAGCAAAATCATAGCCTAGACCAGACATGTTATAGCTACCAGGAATGGGAAGATCAAAATGAAAAATTGGAATTCTACGGTACTCTACGGTTGTGGGCTTGATTAAATTCTATGAAAAATTGCCAATTGCTAGAGCGATAATGAGGGCGCTCTTTCCAAAGACAAGTGAAAAGAACTTCATATGTTGGTTGTTTCTTAAGCAAGTGCTAGTTTTCAGTCCTGTTTTGGATGTTTTTAGTGGCAGTTCCTGTCAGTCTCTGAAGTTTATAATTTAGTGGCAGATAGATTTTAGAAGAAATTTGAGTGATTGGGAACTAGAGGATTTTTATCAGATACTCTAGCAGGTGAACTCAGTCCAGATCAATCAAAGTCAGGTGGATTCCTTGATTTGGACAGCTAGTAAAGATAAATTATTCTCAGTTAAAAGTTGTTACAGCATGTTGTTAGAGGAGTTAGGTCATTGGGATGATATTTGGCATTGGAAGATGATTTGGAAAACAAAAGCTCCAGTTAAGGTAGCATGTTTGGGAAGGACTGCAGCCTAGAGAGCATGTCTAACTCAAAACAACTTACAGAAGAGGGTTTTTTCTCTGTGCAATAGATGCTACTTATGTGAGGAAGATCAGGAAACAGTTGATCATCTATTCCTTCATTGCAAATTCTCTAAACACTGTTGGGAATTTTTTTCTGAACATGTGTGGTATCTTATTGGTAATGACTAATGCCTAAAGATGTAAGGGGATTATTAGAAAGTTGGCAGTATCAAAGGGTTTCCAAAGGCTGAAGCACATATGGAGGACCATCCCACTTTGCATCTTCTGGACCTTATGGATGGAGAGGAACAAAGCTTGCTTTGAAGGGCATAGATTTCATATTTCTAGAGTCAAAAATATATGTTTGCATTATCATTATTTTCTGGTGTAAACGCAATCTATTAGTTAGCCTGGACCAATACATGGATTTTTTAGAGTTGTTAGGAAGGAAAGAGTAGCAGCTTGTCTGGTTGGTCTTTGCATGAATTCTGTTTTCTTTTCTACCAGCTTGGTACAAATATTACCTTATCAGGGAAAAAGAGGTACTTCCTTTCAGCTCATGAGTTGTAATACATTTTGTGTTATCTGTCCTCAAATATTGTGGGATTTTTTGTTCATTTAACACTTTTTGGAACCTATCTGTGAATTCAGCATTTATCTCAACATAACTAGTTTGCTAAGTGCTCAACTAAAATGGGTCTTGAACCCACTCAAGCATAAAATGGCAAGATTCTAAAGGACTTAGACCTGGAAAAAGAGATGAACGACTCGACTCAATTCTCTTTTTTTTTTCAGGTAAAAGTAATTTAATTTATGACAGTACCAAGAAGCAATGACTTGACTCAACTCTTCTTTAGACAAATATGTCCTAATATATAATCTGACATGAAGCATAGAAAAATGCCAAAAGCAATGAACAAAAGACAAAAAGCTATATACACGCAACATTAAGACAAGAATTCTCACATCCAAATATTCTATCCATCACATCCCTTGCGGAAAATTAAGACATACTACCCTCAACAAAGTTCTCATATCCAAAAGTGACCTTAGTTTTTTACATTGTTTTCGTTGTAAATTTACAATGACATTTCACTTCAAATAATTAACAAATCTTTGAATTCTCAATTCTCTACGACGTCAAAATGACAATGAACCAAGACATGAGGAAGTGCAATGCAAAAGAATGCCTTCTTTCTGGAGGCCTCAAACAGTGAATAATGAACAATCTTTAAGAAACAGCTTGAACTAAGAGGAAGCAGTTTAATTCCTGTGCATGCATCAGAACAATGTGAATTTGATTTATCAATATAAGAATCTAGATGATTACTAACTATTCAACAAATTTGATTGGTCGATACGAGTTGATATCCTGTTACGGCAAATTGATGAAAGGTATTATGCAGCATTACAATAAACTGATGTAAAGCCATGAAATGTTGTAATTTACACTTTAGGCTACATCCTATACGTTTATAGACTAATTTGTAACATGATAGCAGCTTGAGAAAAATAAAAAACTGGCAATACTCCTTAGAAAGACTGGCAATACTCCTTAGAAAGGCAACTTAGTTGGCTAAAGGTGCATCCTTGATAGTACTGTTGAAATACAACCGCTTTTGAATAATCTAATGGAGAAAGAGGATAAAGGTGGATAATACAGCGGAAAATGTTCTCGTAATACCTGTATACAGCATCATCTCGCGCATCAAACAATACATTAGACCTCAGTTTCCCTGGCTAAAGTAAGGAGAGACAAGACTATCCATAAAGGTTCGAGCTTCATACATAATAGGAGATGCATCAACCATCAGATCCCTACGTTGATTCTCTTTCATATTGTATACAACCAACTCTTCTTCAACATCCAATAGAACATCATCATCAGTCACTGAACACAATAGTGTACATATAAATCTATCTAAATTCGGTTCTGTAATCGTAAATTTGGTCCAAGACTCCTTAACCCCATACTCTTTCATCATCCAAAATGTAACTGTGTCCATGTCTTTACCTATACTGGTGAATATACAAAGACAACCTCTAAGAACCACAAGATTACACAGTGAGTAATTACTACCAAGACCAGTAGGTCCTGCTACCTCCAAGAATTTCTCATCACTTAAATGAAAAGCAGCAATTACAAATGAATACTGAGAAGTTTTACAAGCCAACCAATGCAAAACCCCATTCACCAAAACCCCAGAAGCACGGTCACTAAGTGGATGATCATAAGGAGAACTCTCAAGTCTCTTCCAAAGACCCTTTCTCAGAGAGTAAATATCCACAAAAGTCTCCGTAATTGCAGGATCATTTTCATCAAATGAATCATAATAAGAAAGAGTTACCACCTTATAATCATCGCTAAGAGTATCGTACCCAAAACCATACATGCTACAGCTACCTGGCACAGGAAGAGCCAAATCAAAATTTGGAATTCTATGGTACTCTAAGGTAGTGGGGTTGATCAAATATTTAGCCTCTTCCCTCTTAATCACCAAGACCAAGCCATTGCATGAGCCAGCAACACTTACCCAGCTGTTTGAAAGCTGCTGCAAATTAAGCGTCCTTGAGATGATATCGATTCCATTTTGGGGGTTGTGGTTAAACGTGATAGTTTGAAGTTCGCGATACCAAGAGACATAGATGAGTTTCTCTTCTCCTTTATGGGCATGGATGGTTTGGTGAGATTTGATGAATTGTGGGTCTGAGAGAAGGTTACACCACTGCTTTGACACGCACCTATATTGGCCTATAAACTTTGCAGGTAGGAGGGAAAGTATGTCAATTATGATTTCTTCGGGTAGTTTTGCAGCTTTGCTCATCGCCATAGTTGGATTTGGAGGAGAGATATCTTTGACTAGGGTATTTTCTATACGTCTTTGCTCTGGAGCTGATTTCAAATTTCAGAGGAAGTCTGGGAAAAGGGTCAAATTCTCCATTGTTCTTTCACAAATGGTTCAAATTCGCCTCCGTTAATATTTGGGTCAAATGTATTTTTTGTCTTATCTAAATATGTCACAATGGAGGCTGAGATGGTTCGAACGTGTGAATTGAAATGTCTGATGCCCCAGTGAGATTGATAATTGTGGGTATGAGGAGATATAGAATTAAACCGAACAAGTATTTGGATGTGGTAATTAGGCGGGACATGACAAGGTTAGTAGGCAATCGAGCATCTTTTTTCTCATACCAGTAATGGTAGTGTTAATCTTGTATTTCGGTGGGATTGATTATGGTTGGTATGAGGAGACATCCAAATAAACCGAACAAGTATTTGGATGAGGTAATTAGGCGGGATATGACAAGGTTAGTAGGCAATCGAGCATCTTTTCTCTCATACCAGTAATGGTAGTGTTAATCTTGTATTTCGGTGGGATTGATTATGGTGGGTATGAGGAGACATCCAAATAAACGGAACAAGTATTTGGATGAGGTAATTAGGCGGGATATGACAAGGTTAGTAGGCAATCGAGTATTTTTTCTCTCATACCAGTAATGGTAGTGTTAATCTTGTATTTCGGTGGAATTGATTATGGCGGGTATGAGGAGACATCCAAATAAACCGAACAAATATTTGGATGAGGTTATTTGCAAAAATCAATTTGCAAAAATTCACAAAAAGATGTTCAATTCATTCATCCAATTAAGTCAAAAAATACGCAAAATCCCAAATACGAAAAATATGTAACAAACAAAAAGCATAAAACCAAAAATCCAACAGAAGGAATTAAAGAAGAGAAGAAGAAGAAGAAGAAGAAAGAAGAAGAAGAAGAGGAGACAAACACATCATATATATTAAACTACTGGTGATGAATTCTTCCAAAATCTTTCTCCAAAATACCTAAAAACAACACAAATACTCTCACTCATTAGCAAAAGTTATGAAAAAATCACATAAAATTGAATCTTAAACTAATTGAAAAAGAATCTAACTTGCTGAACTGGAAACAGAATCTCTTGTCAATCCGGAATGGGAGAAACTCGGAAGCTAAAGAACCAAAAAAAATGGATCTATGAGAGAAATGATTCAAAGGGGCTTTAATAATTTGAAGAGACTCTAAGAACTGCAGTGAAATTTCTGAAAAAGAATGAGAAAAAGAATTGATCAATGGGAATTAATAAGAGAAGGTAACGTGATCACCCGCCATGTCACCGTGCCATATATTTACCATTTGTGGTATATTAATACCATGTGGAAGTATAGATAGGAGGAAAGCTAATATTTGTGAGAAGATTCAGATACTAAATGCTTATGGATTTGCTAGGAAAGTTCTTGGAATCTTCTAGGTTTGTAGAAAATTCTAGAAAAAGCCCTTATCTTGTAAATATTAAGAACTTGTGTAACAATTAATATTTACACTCTAGCCCCTAGGAGACTAGTATATAAAGGGGGTTATTCATTTGTAATTTATCAAGCAAATAATTCAAGTTCTCTCCAATACAAAATATTCTTTAACAATTCTCTTGTGTTCATTCTACCATTCTCTTAGCGATCTTGAGTGTGGTAAGACTGACTTGGCATAGCAAGAACGTGAGCAAGGTGTGCAAGATCGTGAGCGAGTTATCACGTGTAGCACGTGTACTTAATTAACAACTAAGGACGTAACAGTACGCTGAAAAAGCTACAATTTATTACTAATAAAGAGTAAGATAAAATTCACACATTACATGAAAAGGCTACACGACATACTTGACATATCAAAAGGTTGGGAGTAATTATGAGAAGATGAAAAGCTCTTCCATTTAAGCAGCAAGAGCTCAAATTAATCATCTAATGGGAGGTAATTTTACTTTTAGATAGAGGGTAAATTAGTCGTTTAACTTTTGAAGGATATTTTAGTAAATCAACTAAAGAGCTTTCCGCTTATAATATAGTGTGTATATATATATATATATATATATATATAAACTTAT